TATATATATATATATACAATAAATCTCGGAAATATCTTGCTACGATCGTTTCGTGTATTAATAGAAAATGCAGTCTGAATCTGCAATTGCTGTCCGTGTCAAGCAATTATCTTGATTCGGATGTAAATCGTGATCCACGCCCGCAGAGGGATAACCGGGTTATGCCGATGAAATATTTAGTTCAAAGTGGAACTCTAAATTAATTCAGCACCAACACGATATAAGACTTAAGAGAGTGCGAAGGTACCGACAAGGAGTTATTTTCGATTATTTACTGGCAATTACGCGAGTCATAACTAAATGCTTCCGCATAACTTCTCGTCATAATCTCTTACTGGAATTATATCGTTGCAGGCACTTGAGCTGAGCCGCGTTTTGATAAGTGAGTCCGTTATTAGCGCAGATCGGATTTATGCCGTAATATTCGGTTCCACCTCGGTAACATGAATCGTTCTGTGGACAATCCGTCATCGGCACAGCTTTTAAATCTGAAACAGATCACAGGACAAAATTCATGATTGAATGAGCAGTAAAAATTAATTTGCTCATGATTAGTGATTAGCCAAAGTATAATAATCGAAATATCAATACGCTCGCATTTTGTAAGTCAACATGAAAAACGATCATCTTCGGTTTTGCTGAAGTATCTAAAAATTTATAGCGTTTTTCCACTTAAATTAGTGCAACACTGCATATTGAGTGCAATTAATTGCAAATGAATTTATCAATTAATATATTTTCAATATTAATAATTTAATTTAAAAATAATTTAATTACGTATCTTTTATTGCTACGATAACCTCATAACGTTAAAAAGATTAAATTATTTATTAACATTGAAAATATGTAAATCGATTTGTATTCAATTGTATTAATGTTGAACTAGTTTTCCTAGTAAAAAATGTTTAGATACAGACCTAAAAATATTTTTGTTGGACCATCAAAATAGTACAGGACACTCAAACGTGATGATGATGAATGTTTTAAAAAGTTTTAATGTTCTAACAACTAATTTAAACGTTTTACTTGAAAAGATTACAATATGATATATATGTAAGTACGTATATATTAGTAATTCAAAATTGAATTATTTAAAAGCAATGAAGATCCAGCTTCGTAATAGACATTTTAAATTGCTAGTATTAATTGTGTTTCTTATGCGGTCTAAAATAAAGATTTTTAATATAATTTAATGTTTTACTTGATTATTTGATGGTTCAAACAAAATCAAAGCTGTGTTCAAAGCTGTGTATCTAATAAATTTTTAAATATTTTAGTAAATTCGTTCTTTCTATGTGAAAATTAAAGCTTATTTATATTAAATTAAAAACTCTAATAAAAATTAAAAATATAAAATTAAAAGAGAGAGCTTCGAGAATAAATCTAATATAGAAAATAAAAAAGATAAGAACCCAAGCAATTATTAGTCCGCAAGTAAAATATATTAAAAATCTATAAATTAATAAAATATATTAAATTATCTATATAGTTATAATATAAAGATACAACGTATAGTAAATAGTGAAAAATATTTCTCTCAATAAATAGAAATTTTTAATAAATTCAGTAATTTTTTTACGGAAAAAAGACTCAATGCAAATTAACATTATCGTTATTAAATTTTTATTTTAATATTGTAAAATTAAATGTATACATCAAATATACACACGAAAAATGAAACGATTCATATTATCTGCGTTTACCTCTAGATTGCCTTTGACGAACGCAAAATAAAGACTGCATATTAGTATAAATTTTATAGTCTGAACCGCAAACCGGATCATAATACAGATTGACGCTACAGTATTCCTCGTTTTCCAAGCACGGACCAGAGTGTAAGGTGGCAACTAAAAAGAATGTTAAATCACCGGAAAAAATATTAAATAAAATTTTATAAATGTGTAAAATTTACAGTACATTTTAATGTATCATTATTATTCCAAATCTCATTATTATTACAAAATTTGGCATTATTAATTTTTGTCAGTGGAAATTAATACATTTTAAGAAATTAGTGACATATTTAAGAAACATTTTGCTATTTTGATTAATTTGTGTTTAGATACACATAATTCTTTATAAAACTTCTAGTAAAATATTTATAATAATATAATTTATGAAGCAGGCACGCAACTTACATTAATATTTCATTGTAATTCCAAAATAACAATACATATTTGTGCATAATCAATTTTTGTTAGTTGAAACAAAAAGATTAACTTACCGGTTTCGTGATTATGGTGATTTTTACAATCTAAATAAAAACTATTAGCATATGTTACGCCGTTGTCGCCGCATACTGGACCGCCGTATATATCCGATTTATCGAAAATCGTACAGTTCTGATATAATGCTCCCTTGTCGTCTGAGGTAAGCGCGATACACATCTTGATCACTGCAAGATTTTTAATTTTTTTACAAGTTTCATTTTCACATTTAAAAAAAATCTACATATCCGTGGATGAGATTAATTAATAAAACTCATATTAAACTCAGCAAGAAATGTAACTCAACTCAAATTACCAAAAAAAAGAAGATATTGATATAAAACGTAACGTGAAACTGTAAACGACATTATGCTACAAATGCAGTTTTCGTTTGTTGAAGAACTTGTCTCGACTATGTCCGATTATGCACCTGCACCGCTTTTTTTCTTCGATTGAATATATCGTTATGCATTCCTCTCGTCGTAATAATCAGGGAAATTCGATATCGAATACGTGTCACTGCCAGGCAACGCTAGCGAAATCAATCGTAACAATGCGTCATTATTGATCCTTCCCGTCACCAATTTATTCCGCCGATTTAAACGTGATCTGTCATGTAAATTAATATTTTGTCGCACACGTAAAAACACGTTATGAATAAACATGTTTTACGTAATACATTCTTTTATCGGCAAATTAGTCAGCATTAAAAAAGGTGACGCGTAATAGCAAAGAACGTGAAGAAAGTAATAAAAAAAATGAGAGAGAAAAAGAAAAAAGAAATAAAATAAAACTAATTATTCTTTTAATAATACTAATTATTTATTAATATTAATATTAATATTAGCATATGTAAATATTCTTTCTTTCCTTTTGTACTTCCTTTTCTTTATTTCTATATATTTTTCTACATAATATGATTTCTATATTCAAATGTATTGATTAAAATGATCTATCTGAGAAAGAGATTATGTTAATCAATACTTGAATATCTCGAAAGGGAGAAGTTTTTTTCAAAAAATCTTTCAGACAAAAGTTTTATGTTCCAGGAAAAAAGATGATGACCTTAGTTTACCTTAAGAGAACGTCCTTAAGTTAGGTCAAGGTTGCATGAAGTTTTTTGAATGAAATGTCCCATTTTTTATTGCACACTCTTGTAGCTTATTTCAAGAGCTTTCCAAAACGCTACAATAAAATATTTTTTCTTTATTTGCATTTCGAATTATGAGATTTGAAAGTTATGTATATATTGCCGGCATTTGCATTATTTAAGTCATCTAAGGTGTCTGATTGATAGCTAAAACCTTTTGAATGTTGCTCAAAGTCATGATTTTGATATCAGATGTTAAAGTCAAGGCCATTGGAGATTATTTCCCTTATTTTTATTTTTGCACTAAAAATTCATTTTTACTTTTTCATCGTTGCTATGAAATGTGCTCCACAATTGAGCTTCAAGATGAAATTATATGAAATGTGTTCTTCACAGTATAATTTTGTTTCAAAAGTTATTCAGACCCAATCTATAATTTCTGAAAAAAATAAGAATTTTACGAAACATGTGGAATATTCTCGGAACAATGATATTAGGTATAATAAAAAGAAATCCATTATTTTTGCATGAAATTGAATGGAAAAATAATAGATTTCTTTTTACTCCACCTAATATATAAATTTTTAACTGATATTTGAATGTTGCTTTTACACACACATACACACACACACACACACACGCACGCACACACACGCACGCACGCGCGCGCGCGCACACACACACACACACACACACACACACATACACACACACACACACACACACACTCACACAAATATTTCGAGATATTAGAACTTGGAATGTTTTTTGAGAATTTTAAAAATTTATATGAATATTTCAGGAGAATATTTAGTATTAGCTTGTTTTATAATTTGTTCCACTTCGTACATAGAAATAAAGAAAAGAAAAAATCAAAAATCGAAATGCAACTAGACAAACATGCAATAAAATAAGAATGAAATTATTTTGTAATTTTTATTTACTAATTTTTATCTTATAAATGTATACATATAAGTGTTGATATGAGAATGAGCTGCATTATCAACAAATAATTATCTTTATTTCCAGGCAACATTATGTCCAAAATATGGATATAAAATGTCTTGAAGACGTAAAGATTATTTTATAAAACATCATATTATAAGAGAAAGCAATCTTTAAGACGGCTTGAAAACGTTTTAAAGATTGCTTTAAGACTTATAATATGATGTCTTATAAAATAATCTTTATGTCTTATATTTTGGACATAATGTTGTCTGGAAATAAAGATAATTATTTGTTGATAATGCAGCTCATTCTTTTGCTCGTATTTTGGACATGATATTGTCTGGGTTTTTTCCAGGTATACATTGTTGTATATATATATGTTTAAAAATCATCTAAAAGACACATTTTAAAACAGACGTCTTTAAAACTTTTCTTTAAGATTTTTTTTCTAAAAGATGTTCTTCAGAAATCTTTCGGACTTTTTATATATAAATAAAATTTATAGTCGATAATGTAAAGTGTTACTCCAAAACTATACTCCAAAACTTGAATAATATAATTTTGACATTTTTCGAAAATATTTAAAAGACATAAAAATATCTAAAAAGTGACGTCTAAAAGACTCTTTTGGAAAAATCTTAAAGACGATTTGAACTGAATATCTTTAAGGCTTTTCCAAAAGACATCTTTTAAACGTCTTTCAAACATTTTCGAAAGGTATCAGAAAATTATTCAAGTTTTGGAGCATGTATAGCAATTTACATTATTAACTACAAATTTTATTTATAGATATAATAATATCGAATGTATAATAATATCGAATGCATATGTGTATGACATATATAATCAATTTGAATAAGATATGTTGTATATATTACATATCTAGGATATGAAAACATTGAATTAATAATTATTAATTGACGCTGAATATTGTTAGCAATAATCGGTATCACAGAAACGGCAGATGATTGGTAAAAGCAATATTCTGCATTATCATCTGGCAAAGTGAATTTTACCTATTGTCGCTAACAATATACAGCATGTTTATCTTTCTGTCCGATCTCTAAAGGTAGCCTACACGATAAATAATTAGTCGGTAATACAGACAATAAAGATAAGATATGTGACATTGTGTGAAAAACATGTAGCAAAATATTTAATTTTAATTTAATAGTATAAAAGTATCTAATTTAATTTTTAAAAAACTTATAAATAAAAAATTTATATTACAAATAAATAATATTAAACATATTTATGAAGAAAAATTTATTTTTTTTTATATATTATTCTTTAATATAATGTAATAGCGCGAATAAAACGAGTAATTATTTATTATTATTGTCTGCTTTTCTTTTATAAGTTCTGATGTTCCTGTAGTTCTTGAAATGAAGACAATTTTTGTATTTTTTCTAATTCCGATATTGTTGTTTCGATATATTCTTGTATTTTGCCTGTGTAATCAGTATACATATAAAATTACTTTCGGGTAAGCACTTCATTTTGAAAAATCCGATATTTTATACACAGTTCCGTTTGCATCTATAATAGTCGTACAGTTCCTGATTTTAACAATAGTTAAAATCGGAACAGTTCCAGCCGATTTTTTGACATTTTCCAATAGTTCTAACGCTTTTTACAGGTTTTGCTTAAAATTCTTTAAGTATTTTTAAATAATTTTTCAATCAGTGCTAGCATCACATCATAAAGGTAAAGTACTACGTAACTGCCAGTTCCCGCCGATTTTTTGCTATTTTCCTTTATAGTTCTGCAATATAATTCTAAGGCTTTCTAGGTTTTTATCAGAGTTCTTTTTTTAGAACAGATTTTTAGAACAGTCACTACTATGCGACAATAATCAAGAACTGCCATAAAGCATTAGGAACTGGCAGTATCATATACTTATCAAAAATGTGCTGTCAGCAGTGAGATTAAAAAATTATTTAATAATAATACTTAAGGACAAGAATTTTGAACAAGACTTATCGAAAGCATTGAAATTACTATAACTATTACATAACTATAGGAAAATAGCAAAAAATCGGCAAGAACTGCTATTACGTGATACTTTACTCTTGTGATGGGATGCCAGCGATAACATTAAAACATTGTTTAAAAATATTAATCTTGATGAAAAAATATCTCTGAAAATTTTGCTGCAAATGTCTGAAAATGTTTTTCAGGGATTTTCGATAACATTCAGAGATTTCCTCAAGGAATTTCAGGTATTATCAGCGATAATTTTCTCTAAAAATTATTTTCAACTGTCTGAAAGTTTTTGAATTCCGCTGAAATTCGGGAATTTAGAATATATCTGAGGATAGAATTTTCACGATTTTTCACTTTTTAGAAATTTTCAGCGAATTTTCTGAAAATCATGTGTCTAAAAGTCTCTTAATTTCGCTGAGACTTGAAAATTCAATGATATTTCTAAAGATAGAATTTTCATGATTTTACCTTTCAAAAACTTTCTGTGAATTTTATAAAAATCAAATAAAAATTGATAGAATGGCTCAATTCGAATAAATCAAGAAGGGCCAGTTAATACTAATAATATTTAATACGCAAAAACATATAAGAAATACATACGTTTAAATGCTGATCGGATCATTTTCAATATTAGAAAAATTAAAAAATAAAAATAATAATGTTACAGTAATTGTCGGATTCGCATATTAAAATAACAATATTCTGAACGTTATATAGTAAAATTTAAAAAATATAGATACGTATCGAATGTTCCTATGTTCCCTCTTTGTTAAGAATCTGTGTGGTCCATTGAAATATTCAATATAAAACGTTAAAAACGAGCAATATGATTGGAATGTTCTCATTTTTCTTCTTAGAACAAGTAATCTATTCACAAGAATTGTGAAGAAAGTTATTTTAATAAAAAAACCAGTTGTTAAATTCAGAATACGATTGATGGATTATTACAATATATAAAAGTTATAATAAATTGTACTTAAATATAAATTCAGAAGAAAAAGGTTTAAACGTATAATATATAAAGTAGCCATTAAAGCTTTTAATAATAATATCGATAACAAAATTAAGCATTTACATGTGTCAATAAAGAGTACATATTAATTTACAAACATATATATATCTTCTTCAATCACACTATTATAATACAAGTTAGAAATTAAAAAGAGGAATGCAGTGGATATTATAATATTACAATATAAGCAATAAAGTATATATAATGCGGTGCCAGAGCAGAGAAATGTGTAACATCGACAATATCAGATAAATTCTGAATTAAAAAGGAGACAAATAGACTCAATCGCATCAATATTACTTTAATTTTAAGCGAGACTTAAAACTCTCTTT